GCGCACCACCTGAGTGCAGGGTGAGCCCGCACAGGGAGCGCCAGTTCTCTCCACCTCACTCCCGGGCCAGGGAGGGCGGAGTGAGCTGATCGCAGAGCCAGGCATAGCGATGGCAGCCTGCGCCACTGAGGCCGGCAAGGGGCAGAGAACAGGGGCCCGCCTGTGCCCAGCCTCCCCGGGTAGCCCTCCTCGGGGGAGGAGAAAGCGGCTTTCTTGTTTGTCCAGTTGCTCATGGTTGACTCAGACTGGCTTCTGGATTTGGTGTTAAGAAATTAACTGGCTTTTTATATGGTGGCAGTTAGTGCCAGGGTGTGAGAATTTGAAAACCTCCGAGTATTGTTTTACCAACGTTTATTATTCTCCCCACACATGGCTCCAGCCCTAAAGTACTTGAGAGTAAGCACTTCCTGAAAGCTGACCCTCGGTCAGGTTTTTTTCATCTGATCTCTTTCTCTTTTTTAATTGATTTTATAGAGGAAGGAAGAGGGAGAGAGAGATAGAAACGTCAATGATGAGAATCATTGATTGGCTGCCTCCTGCACACACCCCCACTGGGACCAAGCCTGCAACCCGGGCATGTGCCCTGCCAGGAAGTTGAACCATGACCTCCTGGTTCATAGGTCCATGCTCAACCACTGAGCCAAGTCCCCTGGGCATTTATCTGATCTCTTAGTGAATTCTTTTAAGTCCTTATATCATTTGGGGAGGGTGGGTCAGTGAAGAAGTGACAGGAACTGGGTAGCCCCTAGAGAGGCCCATTTCAGAGCCTGAGCTGCCTTGCCCCTGTCATGCCACACTGAAGGACCTTGATGGAGGTAAAGGCTCTGGTTCTTGCCCTGGCTGGTGTGCTCAGTGGTTAGAGTATGGGCCCCTGAACTGAAGGGTTGCAGGTTCAATCCCCCTCCCTGGTTATGTGCCGGAGTCAACCAACCCATGTGTCTCTGTCACATTGATCTCTCTCTTCTCCCCTCGCCCCTCCTTCCCTTCCTCTCTCTCTAAGAAAGAAAAAACATCAATGGGAAAATATCCTAGGGTGAGGATGAACAACAACAAAAATTCAGGTTCCCTTGTTCTTCTCTGGCAGGCTAAATAAAATTCCTCTCCTGGTGGCTCCCAAGGTTTTTTCCCTTAAGGAAAGCCCCTGGCCAGCCATCTGACTTCTTTTCATTCTCCTTTCAGGCCTAAAGGGCGGTGGCCCCAGTGGTGGAAGCGGCGGTGGTGCTAACGGTACCTCCTTTAGCTACACATTCCATGGAGACCCTCATGCCATGTTTGCTGAGTTCTTCGGTGGCCGAAATCCCTTTGACACCTTTTTTGGACAGCGAAACGGGGAAGAAGGCATGGACATTGATGACCCGTTCTCTGGCTTCCCCATGGGCATGGGTGGCTTCACCAACATGAACTTTGTCCGCTCCCGCCCTGCCCAAGAGCCTACCCGAAAGAAGCAAGACCCCCCTGTCACCCATGACCTTAGGGTCTCCCTTGAAGAGATCTACAGCGGCTGTACCAAGAAGATGAAGATCTCCCATAAAAGGCTGAACCCCGATGGGAAGAGCATTCGCAACGAAGACAAAATCTTGACCATTGAAGTGAAACGGGGGTGGAAAGAAGGGACCAAAATCACGTTCCCCAAGGAGGGAGACCAGACCTCTAACAACATTCCAGCTGACATCGTCTTTGTTTTAAAGGACAAGCCACACAATATCTTTAAGAGAGATGGCTCTGATGTCATTTACCCAGCCAGGGTCACCCTCCGGGAGGTAAGGCACTAGGCAAAGTGGTGTCTGGAGAAAGGGCTGCTTTTTGACACATACTTGTCTTTGTTTGACAGATAGTTCTGAGCTCTTGGTGTCTGATAGATTTGGGGAAGAG